GTAAAAATCTTTTTACGTTTCCAAAACTGTTCCAGGATTAATTCAAGTCTTTTTCATTTGTTGTTTGCAGGTTTTGGTTTAATGTTTTTGCAGAATTTAAAAAAAAACTGACATAAATGAACTTGTTTAATTTTGTTTTTGGTTTTTATCTCTGAGTTTTTTTTGTTTTTTGTCTTTCGTTTTGTGTTTTGAGTGAAGCCTGTGAAATATCCTGCCTTTTATTTTCAGTTTTCTGTCACAGGTTCTAGATCTGTCCCCAAACTCACATTTCAAACTGGATCTCGATGCCAAGGAACAGACTCGATACTCGATACTCGATACTTGATACCGATTCTGATCCCATGATAAAAAATAAAAAGGCTCTTTGTTGAAATAATCTCCTGTGGTTTTCTGCGTTAAACGGTGGAACTTCTGTTCAGACTTGAGTCACTACTTTTAAGACTTGAGACTTGACTTGATAACATGGACTAAGACTTGGGACTTGACTTGGACTTGAAGCTCAGTGACTCGGGATTTGAGGCTGTGGCTTGAGAAAACTCGATGCTTCTCCTAAAAAAATGTTTTTATAAAATACTTTTCTCTTTACAGTTGATTAAATCCTGTTTTAGTCCTGGTTTTAGACCTGGATTTGTCCTGTGTTGACGTGGTTTACCTGTGGGGGCGTGGTTTACCTGTGGGGGCGTGGTTTACCTGTGGGGGTGGTTTACCTGTGGGTGGTTTACCTGTGGGTTTACCTGTGGGGACGTGGTTTACCTGTGGGGGTGTGGTTTACCTGTGTTGGCGTGGTTTACCTGGGGACGTGGTTTACCTGTGAGGACGTGGTTTACCTGTGGGGACGTGGTTTACCTGTGGGGGTGTGGTTTACCTGTGGGGACGTGGTTTACCTGTGGGGGTGTGGTTTACCTGTGGGGGTGTGGTTTTACCTGTGGGGACCTGTGGTTTTACCTGTGGGTGGTTTACCTGTGGGGGTGTGGTTTACCTGTGGGACGTGGTTTACCTGTGGGGGTGTGGTTTACCTGTGGGGGTGTGGTTTACCTGTGGGGTGTTTACCTGTGGGGACCTGTGGTGGACGTGGGTTTACCTGTGGGGGTGTGGTTTACCTGTGGGGTGTGGTTTACCTGTGGGACTGTGGTTTACCTGTGGGGACGTGGTTTACCTGTGGGGGTGTGGTTTACCTGTGGGGGTGTGGTTTACCTGTGGGGGTGTGGTTTACCTGTGGGGACGTGGTTTACCTGTGGGTGTGGTTTACCTGTGTTGGTGTGTTTACCTGTGGGGGTGTGGTTTACCTGTGGGGGTGTGGTTTACCTGTGGGGACGTGGTTTACCTGTGTTGGTGTGGTTTACCTGTGGGGGTGGTTTACCTGTGGGGACGTGGTTTACCTGTGTTGGTGTGGTTTACCTGTGGGGGCGTGGTTTACCTGTGGGGGTGTGGTTTACCTGTGGGGGCGTGGTTTACCTGTGGGGGTGTGGTTTACCTGTGGGGTGGGTGGTTTTACCTGTGGGGGTGTGGTTTACCTGTGGGGGTGTGGTTTACCTGTGGGGCGTGGTTCAGAGTCAGGTTTTTCTGGTCAGATTTGGTTAAACTGAACCTCAGGTGAGTCCAAGACGAGTCACAGAACAGACAGAGCAGGGCCTACAGTTGGCGTCACAAATGTTGATGGCGTCAGCTGCAAAAGATCAACGTTTTCTGTCTCTACTTCGGTCCAGCTAAACGTTTTTCAACTTGTGTCTTGGGTCTAAACTCGCCTCTGGCAGCAGCAGATCACAGGTATGTGCCTCAACCGGGAAATCAGAAAGAGTCAAAAGAGTTTTCACCAAAGTTTTACAGCCGCCTCAAAAAAACCTCTGAATCACAGACGAGTGTTAATTATATAAATATTAAATTATTCCAAATGTTCCGTCCGTTTCCTGTCGGAGTTTTTCCCGACGCTTGTGCTGCTTCCACAGGTGGATTTTCAGATTGAACCTTTTGACCAATCAGATTTCAGACGTCATCTGTTGCCGGGCAGAGTCAAAGTAAAAACAGGTCTAAACCAGGTCTAAACCAGATCTAAACCAGGTCTAAACCAGGTCTAAACCAGGTCTAAACCAGGTCTAAACCAGGTCTAAACCAGGTCTAAACCAGGTCTAAACCAGGTCTAAACCAGATCTAAACCAGGTCTAAACCAGGTCTAAACCAGGTCTAAACCAGGACTAAACCAGGTCTAAACCAGGTCTAAACCAGGTCTAAACCAGGTCTAAACCAGGACTAAACCAGGTCTAAAACCAGGTCTAAACCAGATCTAAACCAGGTCTAAACCAGGTCTAAACCAGGTCTAAACCAGATCTAAACCAGGTCTAAACCAGGTCTAAACCAGGACTAAACAGGTCTAAACCAGATCTAAACCAGGTCTAAACCAGTCTAAACAGAAACCAGGTCTAAACCAGGTCTAAACCAGGTAAACCAGGTCTAAACCAGGACTAAACCAGGTCTAAACCAGGTCTAAACCAGGTCTAAACCAGGTCTAAACCAGGACTAAACCAGGTCTAAACCAGGTCTAAACCAGGACTAAACCAGGTTAAACCAGGTCTAAACCAGGTCTAAACCAGGTCTAAACCAGGTCTAAACCAGTAAACTCTAAACCAGGACTAAACCAGGACTAAACCAAATAAACCAGGTCTAAACCAGGTCTAAACCAGGACTAAACCAGGACTAAACCAGGTCTAAAACCAGGTCTAACTAAACCAGGTCTAAACCAGGTCTAAACCAGGTCTAAACCAGGTCTAAACCAGATCTAAACCAGGTCTAAACCAGGACTAACAGGTCTAAACCAGGTCTAAACCAGGTCTAAACCAGTAAACTAAACCAGGTCTAAACCAGGTCTAAACCAGATCTAAACCAGGTCTAAACCAGGTCTAAACCAGGACTAAACCAGGTCTAAACCAGGTCTAAACCAGGTCTAAACCAGGTCTAAACCAGGTCTAAACCAGGTCTAAACCAGGTCTAAACCAGAACTAAACCAGGTCTAAACCAGGTCTAAACCAGGTCTAAACAGGTCTAAACCAGGTCTAAACCAGGTCTAAACCAGATCTAAACCAGTCTAAACCAGGACTAAACCAGGACTAAACCAGGTCTAAACCAGGTCTAAACCAGGTCTAAACCAGGACTAAACCAGGTCTTAAACCAGGTCTAAACCAGGATCTAAACCAGGTCTAAACCAGGTCTAAACCAGGTCTAAACCAGGTCTAAACCAGATCTAAACCAGGTCTAAACCAGGTCTAAACCAGGTCTAAACCCAGATCTAAACCAGGTCTAAACCAGGTCTAAACCAGGTCTAAACCAGGTCTAAACCAGGTCTAAACCAGGTCTAAACCAGGTCTAAACCAGATCTAAACCAGGTCTAAACCAGGTCTAAACCAGGACTAAACCAGGTCTAAACCAGGTCTAAACCAGGTAAACCAGGTAAACCAGGACTAAACCAGGTCTAAACCAGGACTAAACCAGGTCTAAACCAGGTCTAAACCAGGTCTAAACCAGGACTAAACCAGGTCTAAACCAGGTCTAAACCAGATCTAAACCAGGTCTAAACCAGGACTAAACCAGGTCTAAACCAGGTCTAAACCAGGTCTAAACCAGGTCTAAACCAGGTCTAAACCAGGTCTAAACCAGGTCTAAACCAGGTCTAAAACCAGGACTAAACCAGGATCTAAACCAGGTCTAATCTAAACCAGGTCTAAACCAGTCTAAACCAGGTCTAAACCAGGTCTAAACCAGGTCTAAACCAGGTCTAAACCAGGTCTAAACCAGGTCTAAACCAGATCTAAACCAGGTCTAAACCAGGAAACCAGTAAACCAGGTCTAAACCAGGTCTAAACCAGGTCTAAACCAGGTCTAAACCAGATCTAAACCAGGTCTAAACCAGACTAAACCAGGTCTAAACCAGGTCTAAACCAGGTCTAAACCAGGTCTAAACCAGGTCTAAACCAGGACTAAACCAGGACTAAACCAGGTCTAAACCAGGTCTAAACCAGGTCTAAACCAGGTCTAAACCAGGTACTAAACCAGGTCTAAACCAGGTCTAAACCAGGTAAAACCAGGTCTAAACCAGGTCTAAACCAGGTCTAAACCAGGTAAACCAGGTCTAAACCAGGTCTAAACCAGGTCTAAACCAGGACTAAACCAGGTCTAAACCAGATCTAAACCAGTCTAAACCAGGACTAAACCAGGACTAAACCAGGTCTAAACCAGGTCTAAACCAGGACTAAACCAGGACTAAACCAGGACTCTAAACCAGGACTAAACCAGGACTAAACCAGGTCTAAACCAGGTCTAAACCAGATCTAAACCAGGTCTAAACCAGGACTAAACCAGGACTAAACCAGGTCTAAACCAGGTCTAAACCAGATCTAAACCAGGTCTAAACCAGGACTAAACCAGATCTAAACCAGGTCTAAACCAGTCTAAACCAGGTCTAACCAGGTCTAAACCAGGTCTAAACCAGGACTAAACCAGGACTAAACCAGGTCTAAACCAGGTCTAAACCAGGACTAAATCAGGACTTGAGAGAGAGAGAAGCCAGAGTTCTCAAGTCCAAGATTAGTCCTGATTAAGACCTGGTTTAGTCCTGTTTTAGTCCTGGTTTTAGTCCTGGTTTAGTCCTGTTTTAGTCTCGATTTAGTCCTGGTTCAGTCCTGGTTTAGACCTGGTTTAGACCTGGTTTAGTCCGGGTTTAGTCCTGATTTAGACCTGGTTTAGTCCTGGTTCAGTCCTGTTTTAGTCCTGATAGACCTGGTTTAGTCCTGTTTTAGTCCTGGTTTTAGTCCTGGTTTAGTCCTGTTTTAGTCTCGATTTAGTCCTGGTTCAGTCCTGGTTCTGGTTTACATGGAGCTCTGGAGACACCTCACAGGTCTGTGGTCTTTAAGGTCCACAGAGATGTTTGATCAGAGGAGCAGAAGAGAAACGGAGAGAGGTTCAGGTGGAGATCAGACGAAGGTTCAGGTGGAGATCAGACGAAGGTTCAGGTGGAGATCAGACGAAGGTTCAGGTGGAGATCAGACGAAGGTTCAGGTGGAGATCAGATGAAGGTTCAGGTGGAGATCAGACGAAGGTTCAGGTGGAGATCAGACGAAGGTTCAGGTGGAGATCAGACGAAGGTTCAGGTGGAGATCAGACGAAGGTTCAGAGTCAGGTTCAGGTGGAGATCAGACGAAGGTTCAGGTGGAGATCAGGACGAAGGTTCAGGTGGAGATCAGATGAAGGTTCAGGTGGAGATCAGGACGAAGGTTCAGGTGGAGATCAGACGAAGGTTCAGGTGGAGATCAGATGAAGGTTCAGGTGGAGATCAGACGAAGGTTCAGGTGGAGATCAGACGAAGGTTCAGGTGGAGATCAGATGAAGGTTCAGGTGGAGATCAGACGAAGGTTCAGGTGGAGATCAGATGAAGGTTCAGGTGGAGATCAGGTGGAGATCAGACGAAGGTTCAGGTGGAGATCAGACGAAAGGTTCAGGTGGAGATCAGGTTCAGGAGATCAGACGAAGGTTCAGGTGGAGATCAGATGAAGGTTCAGGTGGAGATCAGACGAAGGTTCAGGTGGAGATCAGACGAAGGTTCAGGTGGAGATCAGATGAAGGTTCAGGTGGAGATCAGACGAAGGTTCAGGTGGAGATCAGACGAAGGTTCAGGTGGAGATCAGACGAAGGTTCAGGTGGAGATCAGACAGAAGGTTCAGGTGGAGATCAGACGAAGGTTCAGGTGGAGATCAGACGAAGGTTCAGGTGGAGATCAGATCAGAGAGGTTCAGGTGGAGATCAGACGAAGGTTCAGGTGGAGATCAGGACGAAGGTTCAGGTGGAGATCAGATGAAGGTTCAGGTGGAGATCAGACGAAGGTTCAGGTGGAGATCAGACGAAGGTTCAGGTGGAGATCAGACGAAGGTTCAGGTGGAGATCAGACGAAGGTTCAGGTGGAGATCAGACGAAGGTTCAGGTGGAGATCAGACGAAGGTTCAGGTGGAGAGATCAGGTGAAGGTTCAGGTGGAGATCAGATGAGAGGTTCAGGTGGAGATCAGAGAAGGTTCAGGTGGAGAATCAGACAGAAAGGTTCAGGTGGAGATCAGATGAAGGTTCAGGTGGAGATCAGGAGAGGATGGATGGAGGAGAATCATGTTTTTCTGAGCTGTTCTTTGTGTTTCAGGGGAAACATGGACCCTGAGCTCAGGTCAGACACATTCATGTCCATCCCTGTCAAAAGCATCAAGAAGGATCCTGCCTCCAGGTGAGACCCCAAACAGACCAGACTAAACCAGGACTAAACCAGGACTAAACCAGGACTAAACCAGGACTAAACCTGGACTAAACCTGGACTAAACCAAGATTAAACCAAGACTAAACCAGGACTGAACCAGGACTAAACCAGGACTAAACCAGGACTAAACCAGGACTAAACCTGGACTAAACCAAGATTAAACCAGGACTAAACCAGGACTAAACCTGGACTAAACCAAGATTAAACCAAGACTAAACCAGGACTGAACCAGGACTGAACCTGGACTAAACCAGGACTGAACCAGGACTAAACCAGGACTAAACCAAGATTAAACCAAGACTAAACCAGGACTGAGAATGTTTAACTACAACAAAAGAGTGAAAGAGTCCAGTCCAGGATCGTGGCTCAGATCTGGTCCTGATCTTTGGTTTAACCCAGACTCTGTTTAATCTGTATTTAGTCGTTTTGTTTTTTTTTTTTTGTTGTTTTTTTATCTGCGGAGACAAAATGTCACATTTCTTCTCCGTCGTTTGGACTGAAGAAAATGATTCAGATGTGGAGCTCTTGTGTTAGTCGTGTGTTTGTTTGGAGGATAAGTCTCTTTTTTGAGGGGGTCCTCAAGTCTCAGTAGAACCTTTGACCTTTGACCTCATGTTGACCTCTGTTTCCACAGTGAGTCCCAGACTCCAGAAGGTCCTGGTTCCAGTCCGGCCCTGGGCAGTGAATGGTCCATGGGTCTCAGAGAAAAATTCAAAGAGGATCCTCCAGTGACCGACCTGAGGTGAGTCCAGACCTCAGACATTTCCCTTTGTTTGTTCTCGTCTTTTACGCACAAACGGCAAATTCACCTCTGGAAACGAATCTTTGTAAAAACTCTGGTTTGGGGTTTGTGTGTAAATGAGATGAACGGAGATTTAGGAACTGACGCCAAAAGTGCGACCGGTGTTTCCCTTTTGCTCTGATGATGATGATGATGATGATGATGATCGTCCATGATCAATGAGCTCGGAGGTCAGCAGTTTTAGTTTTTATTAGAGCCCGACCGATATGGATTTTGTTGTTGCCGATATAATCGCTGATATATTTAGTGATGTAAAAATTCACTGTAAATCTTGAATTATTTAAAAAAAACTTAGGTTTGTCTCTGGTGGATTTTAAACTGGGTTTATTTAGGAAACATTTATTGTTCTTCTGACTCTTTACATCATATTTACAGACAGTTGGACTAATGACATTTTTGCATCACATTCTAGACACTAGTGATGTTTATTCCAGTTCTTTTTAGAGAACCGGGCTCACTAAAAGCTGCTGGTTCTTTTGGCTCCCAAGTGACTCTTCAGGACTTGAGTTTGGAAGCAGGACTTCCTTCTCCTGAGCCCAGGACTTATCCAGGTTTATTTATTTTATGCTGAATATATTTATCCTACGTCCACACAAATTTCTCAAAGTTTGGTTTTGAGCCGCTGCCGCTGTCAAACTCCCACGAGTCTGAACGCGACGTGAAGAGAAAAAAAGTGAGAGAAAAGAGAAAAACACGGCTCCCAATAAGGATCAGGCTCCCGTCGTTCTCTTCAAAGAGCCGGATCTAAGAGCCGCTTCGTTCACGACCGACTCATCACGAGTAAATAAACAATCACTATTAGTCTTTAGCCGTAAATGCTGCGCCGCGATAATTAATGATATATGTGTAAATGTGGATCATTCACACGTCTGTTCACACTCATTTACATCAATGCAGCTGCAGAAACAAATATACAAACAATATAATCACTTTACAACAGATCAATAGAAAACAGACTGTTTATGTGAGACACAACAGATCATCACTAACCTATAAACAAATGATCAAAGTATCTTCAAAGTCGACATATTTCAACACTCAGACTCACACAGGCTCCTCCCACATCACAAGTCTGAACTAATAAATGTCCTTTTAATCCAGACTCAAACCGATTGTTCATAAAAAGAAAATAATGTCAGTGTTGCACATGGATCTGTGTGTGTGAGTGTAAACAAACACACGTGACTCTGTGGTGTGTTCAGGGACAGTACGACACACACAGACAAATGACTCCACAGATAAATACTGATGTGGAGTCACATATTTGGACATTTATCTGTCTGTAAATTGGATTAAATGAACAGAATGTAGAGAGTCTAAGATTTATAACGACGTATCACATGCCCACGGGAAATATCGGCCCTTATCAGCAAGCATATCGGCCGATAATATCGGTCGGGCTCTAATGTGGAGACGTGTCTCTAAATCAGGACATGATCAAACTTAGTCTCTGTTCAGCTGCAGGTTTAAAGCTCAATTTGGATTTTTTTAGTGAAATGTGTTTTTTTTCGAGGTTGTTCTCAGTTCCAGTTAAATGCTCCTTGTGTGTGAATCTCCAGTGTGAACTTTAAACGGTACAAAAGTGTCTCACATGAACAGAACCCAAACCCTGAACCTGGACGCAGCATCGACCTGGAGATTTGAAAGTTTCTGTGGAACCGGAGCCAGAACATGAACAGATGATTTGTTTTCAGGAGCCAGAGTCCAGAAGGTCCTGGTTCCAGTCCGGCCCTGGGCAGTGAATGGTCCATGGGTCTCAGAGAAAAATTCAAAGAGGATCCTCCAGTGACCGACCTGAGGTGAGTCCAGACCTCAGACATTTCCCTTTGTTTGTTCTCGTCTTTTACGCACAAACGGCAAATTCACCTCTGGAAAACGGAGGGAGGGGAATATTCATTTCTCTCGTGTCACATGACAGTAACGGTCTTATAAGGTGAATAAAATCTGGAGTCTGGATTTTGACTGAGTTCTTTTGGTTCACAGTTGGAAGGATCTGGAGAGTCCCAAATCTGAACTGGACGGCATCTTTCAGGTTCGTGCTGGGATAAGGTTGGGGCTGGGGGGGTCCACTGCTCTGACCAATCACAGGACACAGAACGGAGTCGAGCTGAGCTGAGTTCCAGCTCAGATGCAAAGTGCATTTATTTCACAATCAAAAAAAAAAAAAAAAAAAAAAAAAAAAGCAAAAGAGACAAAGTTAAAAACAAGCGCCGTGGTGACCTGCTCCTCGCGACACACCTGAGGCCGGCTCCTTTTAACAGGGTGAGCTCGCCTCAGACTACAGCTGAGTACAGGACGCTTCACTGTCTCAAAGTGAACTGTATCAAAAACTACAAACGCACAACAAATACAAATGCCACAACACATTAAAATGCCACAACACATTAAAAAGCCACAACAGAAGTGACCCCAGGACCCCTTGGACCGATCAAGCGGCAAGTGAAGAAGAAGAACTACAACGTGAAAAGTAAAGGAACGAAGAATGTGTTGTGGCTTTTTAATGTGTTGTGGCTTTTTAATGTGTTGTTGTTTTTGTGTTTGTGGTTTTTAATGTGTTGTGTTGTGTTTGTGGCTTTTGTTGTTTTTTTGTGTTTGTGTTGTGGCTTTTTTTTGTTTGTTGTGTTTTGTATTTGTTGCGGCGTTTGCATTAAAATAGAGTCCCGCGGTCATTTCCGTTGTGGCTTTCTTGTTTGTTGTGGCTTTTTTTGTGTGTTGTGGCTTTTTTTGGTGTGTTGTGGCTTTTTGTTGTGAGCATTTGTATTTGTTGCGGCGTTTGCGTTTGTTGTGACCCTCTCAGCTTCCGTAAAAAACAGAGCTCAAATCTTCAATTAAATCTAAGTACAAAAGTAGATCTCTTTATTAATTTATCAGTGTTTTATTCCTCGTGTAAAAACATGATACTTACATTATTCTATAGTTTAATTGATCCCTGTCAGACTCTAATTCAGTCTGGGCTGCACTTTCTCTGCTCCTCTGAACCAAATCTTATTGGTGCAAAAACGTTTTGTTCGAACACAAACATCAAGAATCTCAGACTTCAGGTCATTGTGCAGTTCACACTGAGAAGGATCCTCTAAAAAAGTGACCATCAAACCTCCATGTTTGTTTTCCCAGTGGGATGAGTCTTTTGACAAAGTCTTTTGAACCATTTCACTTTGTAAAGACCACTTCAGTCTTCACCTTTATCCATTCATTCAGTTGGGGTGAAAGGTTTATGTGTTAATGTTCTTCTGTTGTGTCTGGTCCTTTTGTTATGTAAATGTCAGTATTTTAGTCCATATCGGACTGGTTGTTGCGCCCTCCCCGGACGCACGGGGATTTAAGGGGAGAAGGACGCACGCGCGGGCGCGCGCACATGTGTGACGTCACACGCCGACTTGGACACATGCCAGGAGCTGTCAGGACCTCGTGAGCTCGAAATTTTGGAATATATCGCTGCATTTTTTGGGATTATTGCTTTTTCCAATCGGTGCTGGATCTCGTCTCGCCACGGGAGCTGCTGGACTGTGGGACAAAACCGGAGCGCGGGTGGCGTGAGTAGAACCGCAGGCTTCATCAACTCACGTTGCTTCTGCCGCGCAGCGGGGGGGAAAAACTTTGGGAACTTTTGGGGGAAAGTTGCTCGGGACTGTTGTGGTGAAGGGTGGTGGGCATTTATCGGACTGTTTCTTTATTGTTTTGTTGCACTGGAGTTTGGGTTTTGTGTTTGAGTTTTGGGGACTGGGGCGCTCGAGCGCGGGGTGGTGGTATCGTGTGTTGTGTGGCCGTATTTGTGTGTCCGGTGTTCCGGATTGTCTGGTGATCAGTTTAACTGGTAAAGGCGGAGCCACATCTGGAAGCATGGGGGGCGTGTCCTCTCGCTTCATTCACTCCCATAGAGACACAAAACTGTCGGAGTTGTATTGTCGCGTTAAACCTTCTTTATCGTGGCGTATTATTTCCCCATAGGAAAATAATCCTAATGTATCCCGCACATGTTTCCATCAAGACCTGGGGTTTGAAATAACAAACTTTGCTCTTTACTGCAGCGCATGAACGCGCTCAACCACTTGATCTGGTCGCTGCTCCAGACGCTCCTATAACAGCTGCCATACCGCTATGTCGTGTAACAAATAAACATGGTCAAGCACAAAATGCTGCCCGTGTCCTCACTGTCATGAATGTAGTGTTTGTGTTATTTTTTTATTTTTGTGTATTGGCTTATATAATGTGCCTAATTCACACATTTTGCAACCAAAATAGGGACTGACTCATTGGATCATTTTGACACAATCACCCAGAGTGAAATATTACACTACATCTCGCTGTGAACACAACAGGTAGACTACATCTCCTGCTTCCAGATCCAGATGTGATGGGCGTGTCCACTCAGCTGTAGATGCGGTGGGCGTGTCCACTCAGCTGTAGATGCGGTGGGCGTGTCCACTCAGCTGTAGATGTGGTGGGCGTGTCCACTCAGCTGTAGATGCTTGGTGTCCACTCAGATGTGCGGTGGGCGTGTCCACTCAGATGTAGATGCGGTGGGCGTGTCCACTCAGATATAGTTTTGGGCGTGTCCACTCAGCTTGACAGCTGTGATGCGGTGGGCGTGTCCACTCAGCTGTAGATTTGTGTAATGCGTGGCGTGTCCATCAGCTGTATGCCGTGTCAATTGCTCCCAATCCTTTTAGTCAGGTACAAAGAAATAACTATCATACAGGCAAAGTCTTTTACACGTTCAGTATTGTCATCCCAATGCACTGTTTGTGTAATTGGCTGGTCTAGAATAAATTAAAAAATGTGACTGCGTTTGCCTATTATTATGCTTCGTGATACAGAATATACATTCATCTGACCAGAAACAGACAAGAATGTTTTAGTATCAAGATCACTGAAAAACACTACACAATGAACATATAAACTTCAGTGACGACAAAAAAGCCTCCAGTCCAAAAGGCTGTATGCAGCCGCAGCGCAGCAACAACCAGATCAAGTGCTTAAGGCACGTGCACGCACATCTGCAGCCGAGTGGACACGCCCACCACATCTGGATCTGGAAGCAGGCGATGTAGTCTACCTGTAGTCTACAGCAGATGTTTTAATCTGGTTTGATCCTAGTTTAGACCCATATTAAGGCAGCAAATTGTGTGAAATGTCACATTGCATATATGTACAGATAATATAGGCCGATCTCCACACACGCAGACCCCTGAGAGTAACAGGACTGGCAACAGTTTATCTTTGAGTATTTTTATCGGCAGGTTTGCGACTTGAAAGAGAAAACAAGAACCATAATATTAGTTGTTGACATGAAGCGTCTACAGCAGCAGCGACAACCAGATCAAGTGGTTAAGGTGCACGCACATCTACAGCTGAGTGGACACGCCCACCGCATCTACAGCTGAGTGGACACGCCCACCCATCACAATCTGGAT